CAGTATCGTCAATCAACATAGTAAAGCAGGGGATGCAACACGCTAACCACATGCTATAAAGCCACATTCAGAGAAAACAAAAATCAGCAAATCAGTCATACAATGAGTTAGGAAGGTTAGAAATGTCCGCACGCCATGTAAAACAGTCTTCTCAAAGCAGTACGAAAGACCTGCAATAGCATTCCCAACAACAAGAAACTGACAGTTTCTTTTATTTCTCTCAAAAACTGGGCATAAAATATGACATTATCCTCAGAAGATTACCAAATTTCCTAAATCGTGTGAACATGCCACAAAACCAAACCCTAAATTTCCTCATGTCACTCAATTCGATAGGTGAAACGTTCATATAGATGCCATAGACCAAATAGTTTCAACTCATGCATTTATATACAGTGAAATAAGCCTTTAACAGAACAACCTAAAAACTAAGGTGGAAGAACTATGTATGTCGAAACCTGTGGAGAGAAGAAGAAAAAATGAGAGGTTGACTTGCCTGAAATGGAGCGTAATCCAAGCTTGAACTGAAGGTCAGTACTCAGTAGTAGCTGATTAAGAAAAAGAAATGAAGAAGAAACAGATTGGGAACTGAAGGGAAGAGGGGGGTTTGGGACTTGTGTTCTGCGTAGTGGCTGCCTGTTTTGAGACCCCAGGGATTCTCATCCCTTGTTCAAGACGGCGCCGTATATTAAAAAATAGCTGGCCTTTTTTTCGCCATGGGATTTTTAATTTTTCATCTAGTAATAAATAAAAATAAAAAATATTATTTTAATATATCTTAAAGTATTTTCTAATAAAATTAGAAAATATAAATCCTAATAAGTAATCTGTAACTTGTTTGGTAGTGTAATTTTAATTATTTTTTAAATAATTTTTTATGTTAAAATGTATATTAACGATATTTTTTTATTTTTTAAAATTATTTTTAATATTAACACATTAAAATAATTTGAAAATATTAAAATAAATTAATTAAAAATATTTTTAAAATATAAAATCAATAAAATAGAGTTAAGCTTCTTTACAAAACCAACTATAGAACACAAACTGCTAGGTATTTTAGCCATTATTATTCGAGTTATTGTAGGTAAATGTCAATTCTATTTAGGGTATATTTGGTATTGCAGTTGTTATTGTAGTTATGGTTTTAAAAAAGTTATTTTATAAAAAGTAATTTTAGTTGAAATTAGTTTGAAAAAATATATGTTTAGTTAAAACTGTAGTTAAAATTGAGGTTGAACAAAAAATAATTTAATGTGTTTGGTTAAAAAAATGTTTTTCAAATTGAGATTATAAAATATTATATATATATATATATATTAATATTAATAATTTTTAATTTAAATATTATAGATTTAACTATTGTTATTACATTATGAAATAAATAATATTAATATCAAATATTTTTTATTATTCTATTAAACTATGTGCAATATCATTACATACGAAATCTATCCAATAAAAACTATATTTTCCATAGTTTTTTAGGCGCGCAATAATAATTTTAATTATTTTTTAAATAATTTTTTATGTTAAAATGTATATTAACGATATTTTTTTATTTTTTAAAATTATTTTTAATATTAACACATTAAAATAATTTGAAAATATTAAAATAAATTAATTAAAAATATTTTTAAAATATAAAATCAATAAAATAGAGTTAAGCTTCTTTACAAAACCAACTATAGAACACAAACTGCTAGGTATTTTAGCCATTATTATTCGAGTTATTGTAGGTAAATGTCAATTCTATTTAGGGTATATTTGGTATTGCAGTTGTTATTGTAAATAAAATTGAGATTACAATACGAGTAAATTTAATTCACCTTAAATTATTTTTTAAAAAAAAATATTATTCATGTTGCACTAGTTTTTCAAAAAAAAAAATGAACATTGTGACAATGGAACATGGCTCCACTGTTTCTAAAAATACCCACAAGAAGTAGTAAAATGCTGCTTCTCCAATCCTGTGATTGGACAGCAAAAATGATGTGGGGGCCTACCAAGCAAAATTAATCTTGCTTGATTTATTAAATATTAAAATGTGTGGTTACGGGTGAATCTCACTAGCAGCTACATTACCCAACAACGTCTTAGTATATAACTAGCTTTCCTTTGTGTGTTATGCTGTTGAATGAAAAAAATAAAAATTAAAAAGCTTTTGAATGTAAAAACTTAATATCTTTGTAACATGAAATTTGTTGGTGGTGCCATTAAATCTGAGATAGCTTTCAACTTTTTACTTAGATCAAATTTTAAATTAAATTATATTGAAGTTATTATAATGTGGCATCACCAACTTATCATGTTTAAATAAAAAATCAAAGAAAAACACCTTTTAGATTAACATGGGTTAATTTATTAAATTCATAATTCGGGTTATGAGCTCCACTAAATTCGATTATTTTTTATTCTACTATATTATACAAAATTACAAAAATCATTTTAAATTTAACCAAATATAGAAGAACAATTTTTTTTTAAAAAAGAGTACTTAATATTAAAGGATAGTATTTGAAAAATACACTAAAAAAATCCCAATATTTTTATTTTTTTTTCTTGTTTTTTTTAAAAATAATTATCAGATAAAAAAACAAGAGAGGCTTTTTTCTTGTTTAAAATCTATTTTCAAATTAATTTTAATTTAAAAACATCTTCAAAACACCATAAAACCTCCCAACACTACTTAACAACCCCAAACACCTCTAAAATCACTCAAAAAACAGAAATTAACTTAATAAAAAAATCATAAACTTATTATTATCTTTTTTTCATTTATGTTTAAAGATAAAAGTCATCATCATCAAATTTTTCTTATCAAATAAAATCCATTGACATAAAAAACATCGAGTTCCTTTATAGAAAAGTGGTTCAACCAGTAATTTTCTATTGCATTGTAGTTTTTTTACAAGTTTCTCTTTTTGCTCTCTAACCCATGGAATAAAAATAAATAAAATAAATTTTTGTATTAAATCACAAATTATTGTAAATTTATGGTTGACTATATATTTCCTATATTTTAACTTTTTAATTCTTAGTTCTCTAACATGTAATTTGATATATTTATCATAATTTATATAATTATGTTAGAAAAGGATGTAATTACAAAAATAAAAATGAATAAAAAAGAAGTAATTCAATGTCAGTATAAAAAGGAAAGCGCCATACCATTTTTTCTTTTCCAGTTGTTTTAGATGTACAGGTAATCAGTTCATTTTCTTGTTCTTGTTATCATCATGTTAGTAGGGAACCTTTATATCTTAAAAGGCTCAATTTTTGTGAATTTTCTTGTTCTAAGGGAAAAGATAAATAAACAAAAATCTCAATTTTAAAAACTAATTTTATACATATATATAAAAAAAAAGTAATAATTTTTCAGAAACTACTTCTTATAATCAAATTGCTACAAGAAAAATCAACCCTTTTTATAAAAAATAAAATACAAATGATATTTCTCAAGAGGAATCATTGAAATTCAGTGTTGATTTGAATTCCAAATACCAAAAACAAACAAATTAGAGGGGACATCTTCTGATTTGCTAAAAAAATAATAATTCTAATTGATATTTTCCAAAAAGACTGCCTCTTTCTAAAAATCCTTACTCGTTGGATCTTTTGTCTTGCCCACGAAGCACATTTTGCTTCCAAGGAATGGCAAGTAATAACCGAGAAACCTGCTCTCTCTGGCACAAAATCATTCCTTGAAAACATCTGCTATACCACTCAATGCTTCATCCCCTCATCATTTACTGTACAACACCTCCTTAGCTCATCCGGGATTCACTTAGAATCTGCTTATTCAGTTTCCCAGAACTCCAAATCGATGAAAGTGATCTGCGAAACCCCCATTGTCATCAGCTTTTAAGCGTTGTTCAGTGTCAATGCTGTCTGTCATCCATGGAATCAAACATTGATTTATTGATAAAAGAGGGAGTGCCTGCCTATAGGATTGCAAAACTGATTATGCTGCAACCAAGAACTATACAGCAAGAAGCATCAGAGAATGGTTTATGCTGTGAAAGCATTTGAAGATTTGGAAATCGATCCAAAGACTACGTACCATTTTTATTCATGTTCTTAAGAGTGATGTTACGAAGGAACGAGTACACTTGGAACAAGAAAGTTGAAGTGTTGAAGAGTTTGGGTTGAACTGAGGAGGAAATTTTACAGGCTTTTAAGCGATGCCCCTTTTGCTTTGCATGTTCGGATGAGGTGTTGTAGATTTCTAGGTAAGCACAGTGAAGATTGAACTGCGAACTGTAATTGGTCGTGCCGAGTTTCTTATGCCCTTCTTATGCTGTTTATTGATTGGAATGATCAAGAAATGGGCAGTGGAGGCCTTGTTCTTGTATCGGTATTGGTTCTAGTACACAGGATGTTGCCTGCACAGTTTCCTGTCTCAAGACTATTATTCCTACTTGCCTGTAAGATTTTCTCCACCTAAAACAAAGGAGATTGGAATATATATATATATATATATATATATATATATATATATTCTTTTTTTTATATATAAAAATTAATATAAGATAGGTCTATATATTTTTATAAAAAAAAACAAATAATTTTCAGATTAAAAACAAAATAGTCAAGATCATGTATTCTTAATTGTGATACGCTATCAACTGAATTCAAATTTGTTTATAAATTGAATTCAATTTCACATGTAATTTGGTTCCACACTACAATATATTTTGCTCTTTTTAGTTAAATTGCCATATTTCATGGTAAAAAAAAAAAAAAACCCTCAATTTTATGTTGCCAATTCATACCAGACAGGCCTATTTTCATGATGCCAGTTCTTACAACTCAAGCTGATTCAATTTACAAAATAATGCAAGTGCAACATTCATACATACATATGATTAACTTCACCTGGGATCACAGTCCTACAATGTGCCCAGTCAGCATACCGAGAAATCATGTTCATGTAAACCACACTAAACAGTTTTTAAATTTCTTTTTAAGACAAAAAAAGTTATAACAATCAGAAATACGGTAGAACGGGAAATCAATTTAGCTTGAAGAAAAACATTGAGAGAAGGCTTGCTCATAAGATTTCACAAATTACAAAATATTTGTAAATTGTAACGCCATAAATTCTGGCTATTGAGGGTGATGTTCTCCGCAGTAGGGCAAAAGTCCCTCTAAACATCATTCTTACACCATATTTTAATCATTTATGACCAAAATTTTGCTTATGTCGTAAACCACAGACATAAGGCATACAAAAAAAGTTTCCCCTAGTTCATTGCATCATAATCATCCAGATTCTCATTATATTCAAGCACCTTTCTCTTTATCTTGGATGTATCTACCCAAGTAACAAAGTCTTCCATGCTCCTTGTTACCAGGAATGCTGGGTCAGTAACAGTCTCGGGACCTACACGAATATGCCCCTGCTCGATGTATGTTACAGCTTCTTTCAAGTGTTCGGCAAACTTCAATCTCATCAAAACAGTTGAAAGCCTACGCCTGCAAGCAACAAGATATACTCATTAACAAAACAAACATGCAAGTAGGTAAAGATTTGAAAGAAGAGAATTTCCAAGCAACCAGTCAGTACAGCAGTAAGGGAGAACACCATACGAAAGTCCAATGGAAGTTTGGGATTTCTCTTCACACCATAAATATCGAATTGCACCACATTTTCTTTACACGTCCTCTCAAGAGAGAGTAGAAAATGGGGAAGGGCTCAAACAGAGGGTCTTATTACACAGCAAAAGATTTCAGTTCAAGAAGCATTATCCTACCTGCAAAAGGATGACACCGACAAGCGATCACACAAGGCCAAGCTTTTCCTGCTTGGTATGACACCCATGTTGTAGCTGTCATTTGCAATGATACAACCAAAACATCAGCTACTTAATTGGAAACAACAGCAACAAGAGAAAAAGGGTGCAACAAAAAGAACCACTTAGAACATTACTTGTAAAACCAATGTAAAAAGACTATCTCGGTCAATTGTGACTTTTCATTGCCTGATGTTCAAACCTTAAAACCAGCAAGCAAAACATGAAGCTGGACACTATCCATAACGCATTTACAAGAATGGAACTTAAATCAAAGACTAAAAAAGATTGGTATTCATCACAATAAAATCAATTTGCTGCCAGTGAAGCAATGCCACATCAAAAGCAGCACGGGTAACGCTAACTACTTTGTTTCCACCAAGATTAAAATGTTTGTTTAGCAATCTTTACTCCTTAAGCTCAGATTTTACCATATCAAAGCCTCAGCAATCCTTTAGCTCAAATTATCACTAACATATTCACATTTTCCACTAATGATAAGATTAAACAAAACAAAATAAATAAACAAATGAACTTACAGCTTCTCCAAAAGAACGTCAGTCATTTCAACACGATAAGGGTCTCTAGGATCCATCTGCTTCAAAATATTTGTCAACTTCTGCACCATCCGGCACACACTAGAATACCTGCATTTCACAATTTTTACCAATAATTAAACTAAAATAAAACAATCCCCAGTTCAAGAAACACAATAACAACAACAACAATAATAAATTTCACGTTTCATAAACAAGTACAGAAAACTAAAACAGGCAAAGTTTAAGAAAAACAAAAAAAGTAAGTATTTTTATAAAAAATTAGAGAAACTTAAAAGAGAGATTCAAGACACCAAAAAAAAAAAACAAAAGTTTTCAACGCATACAACATACTTCTTGTAATCATCACGCTCAACGATGTGGTAACGTTGCATAACATGGGCTTCTCTGTGATTGTGCTCTCTTTTCCAGTCCAAGAAATTTACTTTCTTTAGCAGCTTTCTCTCGTGAAACTTTAGCTTCCTCATTCTTTAAGAAACTGCTTCTGTAACAATAAAGAAAAGTGCCACAGAGAGAGATTAATTGATAAACCCTAATGATAACTATTTGATTTTGTTTTCGTTTTTTTCGCAGGAGGAAGAGAGGGAGGGCGCCTAGAGGTTTTCTTAATTTGTGCCTTAAACCCTAAGCTAGATGGGCTTGGGCTTATGCTATGGCTTGTTTTTTTAAGGAGCTCCAGCAGAATTTGGTTTTTTAATACCTTGTTTGTTTAAGAAAAATGAATTTCTGAAAATCATTTCTTTTATTTTCTCATGTTTAGTGAATATAAAAAAAATTAGTTAATGAAAATTCAATTCTGATCAAAGAAAAACAAAAGGCTTTATGAGAGGAAAGTGTTTTCATTTTTTTATTCTAAGGAAAACACTTTCCTTTCTCTTTATTAATAAAACATGCACTATTCTGAAATATAAATATCAAATTATTCTTTACTCTCTCGCTTCTTCTCTCTAATCCCATCAATGGACCTTCTCAATGTGTTAATACCGACTGCTCTTTCTTCACTAACCCCTACCTGCTGCTTGTCTTCTTGATAACTTTTTTTATTTTCTGAGCTCTAATAAAAACAGAGAACAGTATCATCCAATCTTTCTTTCGTTGATGGCACCAAGTTAAAAGATCTGAATTTGGGTGTGAAATCTTGAGAATAGGTGCTGAATTGGGTGTCAAAAGTGAAGGAAAAGTTCGGTGGAGTGAATTCTTCAATCCTATCGAGTGCTGTAGGGCAGCTTTTTCTCCTATTGGTTTCTCTGATTGTTCCTTGCTTTTCTTTCTTGAGTTCCTAGCTTGAAGAAATAGCTTGTAATGGTGGGTCTTGGCTGGAATCTTGATTTTTGTAAGGTTTTTCAAATTTTTTTTTCTCTACCATTATTCAGGGTCATGACTCACAAGGAGAGAAGACATAAAGATAAATAAAAGTATTTTATTTAAAAAAATTATAAAATTTAACTTTTAATTAATTACCTATACCGTAAAAAAGAAGAAACAATCTTTATCAAAAAAAAATCTATCAAAATATTTTTTGTATTTATTTATTTTTTAAAAAAATCTTCATACCAAAAAACCTAAAAAATTAACTCTTACTTGGTTAAAAAAATCTTTAAAACATAAACTAATTTAGTTTTCTTCATATATAAAAAAAAAACATATTTTAAGCTTTTAAAATTGAAAAAAAAAATTAATAGGTTTTATTTATGAAAACTTTTACAAGATTATATCTTTATAATAATATATGGCATATATAGTTATATTTTATAAAATAAGCTATATATAAATATAAGATATAATAAAAAAATTCATCATTACACTTTTTAGATTTTATTTTTTTATTGTAAGTGATTAAATATTTATATTAAATATTTTTCATATATTAGATAAATTTTTTAAAAAATTAATTCATTAATAAATTATTTTCCAGTTCATTTTCTATAACATAACCAAACACTGGAAAGTGTTTTCCAGTTCATTTTCCATTATACCACCAAACATCAGAAAATAGTTTCCCGGAATTCACTTTCCTGAAATTCACTTTCCTCGGAATTCACTTTCCAAAAGGAAATTACTTTCTTGCAAACAAATGGGGCCTAAAAATTGATTCAAAATAAGAATTTGTTTGTTCGAGGAAATTAGGTTCAAGTCCCGACAACGGAAACTTTTCTCCCCTCCTATTTTTTTTTATAATATCTATTATTTCTTCAACTTTTTCCAAAACACTTTCCAATGTTTAGTTATGTTATGAAAAATAAACTAATAAATAATTTATTAATATTTTATTTTTTCACAAGTTTATTAAAATAATCAACAATAAATCTTACAAATTAAAAAGTTGAATAAGAATGAAATTGAAAAAAATATAATTTTATAAATTATCTCAAATAAAATAAATAATAATCAAAATAATAAATATAAAATCTAAAAAAAAAGATAAAGAAATTTAAATAATAATAATTAACATTTCATAAAGTATTTCAAATAAAATAAGTAACAATCAAAAGAATGAGGATCAAATTTGATAGATAAAAAATTTCAATAAAAAAAAAGAAAAGCAAATAACAATTATAAAAATGAGGATCAAAGTTAATATAAAATTAAATTTTAAGAAATGAAATTAAAAAATAAATATTCAAAACAAAATATATATAGCAATCAAAAGTTTGAGGATCAAATTTGATATAATCAGCAAAAAATGACATTTCTAAATTTTTTACAACTTCTGGAAAGTGTTTTTCGCCCTAAAGTTTTCAAGAAAACACTTTCTTAAAAACCAAGCCAAATTTTCCTTTGATTGAAAAGTATTTTTCGTTGATCAACTTTCCTAACAGCAAATAAACACAAGAAAGTTTGGAAAGTGATTTTCCAGAAATTACTTCCCAGAAAACAAACACAGCTAAAAAGAAAAACACTTCATTGAAAATCAAGCTAAATTTTTCTTTGACTGAAAAATATTTTCTGTTGACTAGAAAGTATTTTCCGTTGACTGTAAAATATTTTTCCATTAACAAACTTTTCTAATGACAAACAAACACAGGAAAGCTTGGAAAGTGATTTCCTGAAAACTACTTTCTAGAAAACAAACATGGCCTAAAAGTTTTTGTAATATGAATTCTTAAAGGAATAAGAGCCCGTCAATGGAAAAAAATAAAATGTATTAATAGAAATAAAAATAAAATAGAGCATGAAAATAAAAGTAGCAATATAAAAATAGAATAAGTTTATCTCTTAGAAGAATATTTCTTGGTTCAATAATTGATTATATATAAATATATACTTATAATATACGAGATGGCATGCTCGCGCGCTGTAACAGGCTTATAAAATAAAAATACTTGATAGTATTATAATTGTGAATCGGTACTAAATAAGTGTTCGAAACTAAAGGTATGATAGAGCTAATATTTCATGACGAGAAAAAAAGTTGTGTTGGTGATAAAAAAAACTTAGAAACTAAACAAAATAATTTGTAGCGATTCACAGTATTTTGCGAGAAAAGATATAGTATTTTTTCCATATGATTTAAATTTTTTATTAATAAAAAGCAAAAAAAATTCCACAACTAAATTCTCTACCAACTTAATATTAAAAAAAACCACCAAGGATAATTTTGGAAGGAAAAAAATTCATGAGGAAAAACGTTGTACCATTGACAATGTTTTGTGAGGAAAACTACAGTGTTTTCCTCAATAAAATAAAATAAAAAACCATTTAGATAAATACTATAACAATCTACAGTGTTTTGTGAGAAAAACTATAACACTTTCCCCATATAATTTAGCTTTATTGTAATTATAATTTTTAACCAACTCCATATTAAAAAAAATCGATAAAGATAATTTTGAAAAAAATTATAAAAAAATCATATGAAAAAATATTACAACAATTCACAGTGTTTTAATGAAAAAATTACACAATGATAGAGATAAGGATAATTTTGAAACTGTATCAATCCACAATGATTAAGCTTTTCCTCACATATTGACAGTGACAAGGATAATTTTAAAAAAATTATATGAAAAAAAAATCATATAGAGAGACACTGTAGTAATCCATAATATTTTGTGAGAAAAGTTACAATATTTTTTCCACATGATTAAACTTTATTATAAAGTTAAATTCTAACTAACTCAATATTAAAAAAAAATCAATGAAGATAATTTTAGAAAAAATATATTTCAAAAAAAGAAAACACAAAAGAAACTAAAAAAAAACTATATGAGAAAAAAAACTGTATCAATCAATAATATTTTGTAAGAAAAAACTTGTATTTACTTGTAATTACAATTCTTAACTAGCATAATATTTAAAAAATATAATTGACCAAGATAATTTTAGAAAAAAACATAACAAATTAGAAAAAAATCGTATAAGAAAAAACACTATAGCAATTTATAATAATTTACGTTAAAAGTTAAAGTACTTTTCTTACATATTATAACTATAATTTTTAACCAGCTCAATATTAAAAAATAAAATAAAAAAAATTATATGGAAAAACATCACAGCAATTCACAATATTTTAAAGAAAAATATTACAAAGCGAAAATTTTAATCAACTCAATATTTAAAAAGTAAAATCAACAAAAATTTTTTTGAAAAAAAATAAAAAAAAAATTAAAAAAAAAGAGAAGTTGAAAAAAAAGTAAAGTAATTTTGGAAAAAATAGAAGAAAAAATAAACAAAAAAAAGGAAAAAGTGAAAAATTTTAAAAAGTGCCAAAAAAATGAAAAGAACAAGAATGCACTATGGATTACTGTTATAATCTACGATGTATTTGGGTGTGGGGAAATTTTGGAAAAAACATATTACAAAAAAAAACACAAAAGAAACTAGAAAAAAACCATGTGAGGTAAAACTGTATCAATCCATATTATTTTATGAAGAAAAACTTGTATTTACTTCTAATTGCAATTATTAACTAGCTTAATATTTAAAAAATAAAATTGACCAAGACAATTTTATAGAAAAATATAACAAAACAGGAAAAAATCATGTAGGAAAAAACATTATAGCAATCCACATTAATTTGCGATGAAAGTTACAGCACTTTCCATACATATTATAACTGTAATTTTTAATCAGTTCAATATTAAAAAATAAAATAAAAAAAGATAATTTCAGAGAAAATCATAAAAACACCATGCAGAGAAACACTATGTTGAAAAACACTACAGCAATTCACAATATTTTTTAAAAAAAATTATAAAGTAAAATTTTTAACCAGCTCAATATTTAAAAAATTAAATCAACAAAAATAATTTTGAAAAAACATAAAAAATAAATGAAAAAAAAGAGGAAAGTTGAAAAAAAAAAAAGAAGGAAAGTAATTTTAGATAAAAAAGAAAAAATAAATGAAAAAAAAGAGGAAAGTTGAAAAAAAAAAAAGAAGGAAAGTAATTTTAGATAAAAAAGAAAAAATAAATGAAAAAAATGAAAAAAATGAAAAAATGAGAAAAATGAAAAAGTACAAAAATAAAAAAGAGAAATACACGGTGCATTGAAATTCTAATCCACAATGCATTTGGACATGGAAAAACAATGATTTCTCCACACCATTTAGTTGTATGTATAATATAAACATCCTCACAATATATATAGAATAAGAAAATCTTGTTTG